GCCTATTTTATTCTCTGCCTTTTGTTTTACTGGCTTTTCAGCTTGTTAGAAATAAACTGCATCTGTTGTTTTATTTAACTAAATTATCAATCAGTCAATTCGGGTGCCCTACAGCACCCAAGACTCCCCCGTGAGCACTATGGCGCCTACATTCGTTTTAAAGAGCAAACTACAATGGCGGCACGTTGGCACACGGATGACTGGACCGAACCAGAGGCCGTACCCGGTGCCCCAGTAATAGCGTGGCTCCCCAGAGCGCCCGCTACGCCCTGACAACTGGGCGGCCGCCGAAGAGAGTTCTACCTCACTATTACCTCACTATTACCTCACTATCACCTCACTATTACCTCACTGTTACCAACGGTGTTCAACGTACACTCAATGCTTTCATTCTGCATCTCTTGGGGCATCTGGGCAGTGGTGTCGATGAACCCGCGCCCCAACAATAGACTTGAAAAGCTGGTTACAAATGATAGAATTCTCAAAGAAATAATTACTAGGTGATTGGGGACGTTATATTATTTAATATAGATACAATACTACGCTATACATCATAGATCACTATTCTGTATTTTTATCATGGAAACAATTGTTGTTGTTTTACTCCCCCTGGCTATTCTGGTTGACTTGCAGGAGAGGTTGGGGGCAGTTTTTGAAAATATATGAATTGATTAAATAATTTTAAACGGCTTTTCAACGGCTTATATTCGATAAAAAAATATGAGAATGAGTGTAATCGATGGTTCCCAAACAGCTTTAATTTTTACAAATGTAACTATAATTTTATCGTTTTCAATATTTAAAAAAAAAAGATTTTTTCAAAAATTTAGTGTGATTACATAGACTTTTCATCCCGATTATGATCCAAGAAATAAAATGTCTGCTTTGTTTCATTTAAATAACTCAGTTTTACAAAACACGCGACAAAATTGCAAGATTAGTAGCGCTTTCTGAAATCCTCTTAAATATTACGTCAGCCTTTATTCTGAGACCGTAGCAACGCGCGGGATGATTACACGGGTATTTTCTATTTATGCAAACATATATTCTCTTCTATGCAGACGGATATATATATATTCTGTTCTATAATATGTATTTATATTCTGTTTTATGCGGGTGTTTTTATTTTGTTTTATATGCAGGTGTTTTTATATTTCGTTATTTGAATAGTAAAATCAGGGGACTGAATGGACTAATGATAACGGTGAAGGCAAACGAGTGTCCCTAAAGTGCAGAGCGCTAGATAAACACACCAGGTAACCGAGCGGGTAGGTGACATCAAATCGATCAAATGTGTAGCTGCCACGTTGGGTAGTGTGTGCTAAGTCTTATGAGATTGTGGCTCAAGCCCCGCCCCCATCAAACTTTGCCTTATATTTTTTGCCTGCACGCCACGCTCCAGCGAGATAGGGGATCTAATGGTGTAAAATAATGGCGGTGTGGCCTATAGAAACATTCGAGCTTTATGTTGACGTGTCTCATACCGGCTGGAAAAATTCATCTCATTTCTAACGTCTGCATTTGAGGATACATGTGTGGATATATCATTCTAACATTTAAGGATATATTTGTGGATTTATCATTCTTACACTAAACATTCACTCATGGATATATTCTAGTACATATACGAGGTGATTAAGGCTATACATATGTGGTGAATGAATGAGGATCGTTATGAATGAATGAGGATTGTTGTATTGGATCTATGAGTGTACCCTTAACCCATTCAATATAAAGACCTGAAATCTAATCACTACACACATATTCCACACATACATTCTAGACATATATTCAACACATGTAATCCAACTATGTTCTTAACATATATTCCACACATATAATCAACACATATATTCTAAACATATAATCCACACACATATTCCATACATTTATTGTATTCATATACTCCACACATATATTTCACACATATAGACCCTATCTAGACCCTATATCAAGACCCTACATTTAGACCCTACATTTAGACCCTACATTTAGACTTTACATTTAGACCCTACATTTAGACCCTACATTTAGACCCTACATTTAGACCCTACATTTAGACCCTACATTTAGACCCTACATTTAGACCCTACATTTAGACCCTACATTTAGACCCTACATTTAGACCCTACATTTAGACCCTACATTTAGACCCTACATTTAGACCCTACATTTAGACCCTATATCAAGACCCTACATTTAGACCCTACATTTAGACCCTACATTTAGACCCTACATTTAGACCCTACATTTAGACCCTACATTTAGACCCTACATTTAGACCCTACATTTAGACCCTACATTTAGACCCTACATTTAGACCCTACATTTAGACCCTACATTTAGACCCTACATTTAGACCCTACATTTAGACCCTACATTTAGACCCTACATTTAGACCCTATATCAAGACCCTACATTTAGACCCTACATTTAGACCCTACATTTAGACCCTACATTTAGACCCTACATTTAGACCCTACATTTAGACCATACATTTAGACCATACATTTAG